TATACAGTGAACGTACAGGAGACATAACTCCATTTGAATACTAAAAACCTTAGAAAAACTATTGTTGCTGTTCCTTCTTCGTCTGTTGCTTGAAGGTTTTTATCAATGAGGCATAATCAAGATAGTCCCTAGCTAAAATAAGGTTGAATTACTAAGTACTTAAACTGTATTTCTTTACTAAATATCAGAGGGACGGGTCATTAATAGGGATAACAGGAACCCAAAAAAAGACTGCAATATAAGACAAGCCACATCAACCGTGAAAACCCGACTCCTCCGAACAAAGAACAACATATGATCAAGAAAGTCTAATTTGGTACAGGCACTAAATATGGTGGGTCAAACGTTTTTAAAGTTTTACTTGCGTACGAACCCCTCCATTATATCTATTATTTGCCATATGTTGTTAAAAAACATGAAAAATCAGCTACCAGCAGGATGACCACTACGTTTAACAAGTTTATGAGAAATGGGAAATAACTAAGAAAGCCAAGTCAAAATCTGTTCGCTTCTACAGGAAGCTAACCAAGGTAGTTACATCGTTTAAAACAGTTACTGTTGGATGGGTATTGGGTCAGTTAGGGACGACAAATGCAAAGTATGCGGCCAAGTAACCTAAAATGGTCTTGGCCACACACTTGGCTTTTGTCGTCTGTAACCTTAAATGGTCTTGACTGCACACTTTACATTCGTCGTCTGTAACCTAAAATGGTTTTGGCCACACACTTTGCTTCCGTCGTCTGTAACCTAAAGTAGTCTTGCATGGTCGCACACTTTGCTTTTGTCGTCTATAACCAAAAAAATGTTGTGAGACACACTTTGCTTTTTGTCGTCTTAGAACTTCATCAGAATTTTACAATCTAGTATAAAAATAAGGAAAGGAATGTTTCAAAAGAAATAAATTCGTTATCTTGGTGTATTCAGGGGTGTACGGAATTTTACACCGTTTTTGAAAATTCATACACCCATTCGGCTGCGCCTCAGGGTGTATGAATTTTCAACAACGGTGTAAAATTCTGTACACCCCTGATTACACCAAGATGACTAATAATATTGTATTATTATTATTATTAAACCTTTATATTTTATAGTTAAGTTCATATTACGCAAGACTGATATTTCGACGTCATTTTGTATACTTTTGCTGACAGCTTTGAACGTCATTATGTGCTGGTTATATCACTTTTTTGTTGTAACTCGTTCAGTCACTTTGGTTCTTCTATTACCACGTTATTACATGTAACGTTTATTTGCTGACAAGCCTGTACAAATACACCCCTAATAGTTCCAATTCCTTAACAAGCATCTATATAAACTTAAGAAAAGCTCAATATTCAATACAAGATGAACATACGAAGACATAGACACGAAATATCGGGATAAGGTGTAACGAGTTAATTATCAAGGACAATAAATAAACACGATGTAATTAGAATCGAGTAAGAGATATAAATAAACCCTTTTATTGATAGACATTTGTAGGGCTGTAATGAGTGCATTTGTCATAACACGATCGCTATAAGTTAAGCTTCACGTTAGGCAAATCTGAATTAATTACACCATGATATATCCAGTGAAGTGTGACAGTATAACGATCGTTTGTCCGTCATCTTTCAGGTGTTACTTGGTTAAATTCAGTGAAAATTAGGATTATTTATATTGATTAATCCGAATTTAATACTCTTATTCCGTGAAGTAGGAATTACATATTATGCACTTTTTGATGCGTTCAGTCACTCGTACGTCCGCTCTTGCATCAGGAATCCTCTCAAAATGTCCCTTAATTCACTAATTATAATACACTAAATGAAAAATGCTGGAAGTCCATAGAGATTTTTCAGGTCGCCAAATAGAACAAAACAGGTCCTTTTCATTTATATTTGCGGGAAAGGGGGTTCGTAGAAATCTTATTACAACAGCTGAAAAAATTAATTTCTCGAGTCCAGATAAGGGTAAGTCCCGAATTCCCTTGAAAATAAAGGCCCAATAACCGAATTCCCGCAAAAATAAAGGCATAATCCCGGCTTCCCGAAAAAGATCCATCCACCTCTCTTGTCAAAAATAAAAATAAAAGTGATACCGGGTATAAATTAATCCGAATAAATTGAATTCCAAAATTTTGGGTCTATATGATACAGGCAAAGTGGGCATGCAAAACAAATTTCTGGGTAGAGGAGTCTAAATACAGCACAAACAACATTATCCAAAAGACCAAAAAAGTAAAAAGGTATATTTTAACAAAACGCATTTGACTAGCAGGTCGAACAACGGGTGTTCTTAAACCCTGCTGACTGCCATGGCGATTGCTAAATAAACGGATTACCAGATGTAACAAAATGGATCTTAATTTTTAATTTAATAGTAAACAGAAAACAATAAACTTGCGGAAAAGATGGTATACCACAAACATGAGGTGCAAAAATTGGTACACCATATCCGGATTTCGACAATTAATGTCTCTTCATTGATGTTAGGAATCGAAATGGTATTTGGAAGGCCATATAATTTACCTCAATTTAGGATAGACTCTTGAATTTTGAAGAGTCGAAATAGGATGAACGGATTATATAAACCCGAAGGCAAATATAATACAAGCCCAAACGAAAAAATATAAACAAGTCTAAATATTATATATGCTATTTTTGTTTTCAATTTAAACTTTTTTGTAATGCAAATCAACTACTAGTAATATGATATCTAAAATAAAAAAAACCATAGTACAACAAATAAATGACTAGAATGAATTATTTAATTTTACAAACTATCCGAGAATTCAAATATCGACAAATATTAAGAGTGACCGAACAACACATTAATTCTGGAATGCACGTTCATGGTGAATTATCACTTTTGTTACGAATATTGTTCGATATTTTAATTATTTGCTTAGTTATTCTTTTTATTACATTGACATTTATGAATGTATATAAAGTAGAAAATGCCAGCAACTAAATCTTTTTCTACGTAATCTGACTTTGTTTTGTTGTAACGTCATTGACAACATCTTGACAACACATATTTTTGTATGAAGTATAGGATATCTGCCATGTTGGTTTAAGTGTTCAGCTAAATCACAGCATTTTTCTGTAACCAATGTAGAAATAGTGTATGATTCAATTTTGAGTCTCAAATGAGTAGTAATAAGGATTGATTTATATAGGATCTTTTACTTTTTGTCTGTGTTCGTGTTGATGTTGCTGTTATATGAGATTTATATACCAAAGAACAAATACTTCCCCTTCAAGTAACTGGGTACCTTGCATCCATGAACCTTTCCTCAGAATACAATACATGGTATCGATTTATCAATTATTTGTGTCCAATAAATACTGTTATTACACATGTTCCGCTATTTGTTGCAATAAAGATATGGATTATTTTCTCTTTTTTCTTGAAAATGGACCAATAGTTTTATTTTTCTGCCAAACGTCCAACAGTCTAGAATTGTAAACGTTAAATCGTACTATATCTTAGACAGATACTTAAGTTTCGGAGAAACTCATTTATTTATTAGTTAAAATTTGCTTTGAACTTGCTTTCAATAAATATTGGTAACTTTTGTCTCGTGCCTTGATGTTTGTTTGTTTGTTATTCATGTTGTTGTTTCGTACCAATCTGACAATACAAACTATCTCCATCTGGTTTTTACAGTTTGCTGTCCCGGATTAGAGGAGAATAGATCGTTAAAGCATGTTTAATTTCCCAACTTAAGTATGACCTTGTATTAAGCCAGGAGACTGTGTTTGTCGCTGGTTGCTGTCTGACATATTTGTTTTTCGTTTATTGTTCTTTCATAAATCAGGCACTTGGTTTTCTAGTTTGAACTCTTCCACATTTTGTAATTTTCTCAAAATAAAAACATCGTCGTAAAATGTAACATGTTAACATTATTCTTCAGATGAATCCAGTTATCTAAAAAAAAGCAAACAAAATAATTTACAGTACCAATTCAATAAACAGCATATGAAATCAACTGTTGGAGAGTTATCTGGAACTCTTCAATATAAATAAAAAGATGTGGTATGAGTGCCAATGAGACAACTCTCCATCCAAGTCACAATGTGTAAAAAGTAAACAATTTTAGGTCAAAGTACGGCCTTCAATACGGAGCCTTGGCTCCCACCGAACAGCAAGCTATAAAGGGCCCCGAAAAGGCTAGTGTAAAACAATTCAAACAGGAAAACCAACGGTCTAATCTATATAAAAAAACGACAAACGATAAACACTTATGAACCACACCAACAAACGACAACCACTGAACAACAGGATCCTGACTTAGGACAGGTGCATAAAAATGCAGCGGGTTTAAACGTTTAAACAGGCGCCAACTTTCACCTTAACCTGAAGCAGTGGTATAACATTACAACATAAAAAGACACACAATAAAATATCAATTGAAATGGCTTAACTCGATCAAAAAGACAATACACAAAAACAAATCAATATACACTGAACTAATAAGTTTGATCTAATACTATGACACAATATAAATAAAAAAGATGTTTCAATGTCAAAAAAACAACTTTAACCTAGGACAAAATGGCTTTAAATAAAGTTACGTACACATATAAATTTAAACATAATAATTTTGTTGTTAGGAGTATAGAAACATTTTTTACAAAATGAATTTGTTAGTCATAGTTCGAGTACAGAAGTGAAATTTTTTTCGTCATACTAAATACTCAAAGGTGGTAAATATTAGAAATAGTAAGACGAGATATAACACAAAATAAGTAAACATTGAATAACAGAAATGCATTACAAATTGTGTCAACAGGTCAAATTAACACGAAAGTACGATTTGAGAGTACTCGAAGTTACTGAAGCTAGTTAAAAGCCAAAAACAATTAATAATAAAAAAATCATGCATCATGGACATATTGCCTTTTACTTTGAATTCAAATTGTTGTTTGATTATCTTCAATTCAAGTACCCTTCACCTTTACAGACATCAATTATATTTAGTCTAATGATGATCATTTACAGTCGGTAAAATAACAATGGAAAAAGGAGGCGTAAGATTCTAAAATCATAACCGGTTGAAAATCGTCTGCATGAAATGAATCGGCGACTGTTTTTCTTTATTAATTCCTATTACTATAATATTTTAAAAGACGTCCAATCGAATCGAACCACTATAATTATAGTTTTTACAGCGACTCAAACTCAACAAAAGATGTTAGTCAGTGTCCAACAATAACGCATTTATTTATCAAACAATTGGAATGAATAGTAAACAAAATAATCATGTTCAAAGTAATATTTATCAGACGGTTGACTTTCAATGGTATATATTTAATACTAATGATACAAACACAATTTTATCCTTTGTCTATTTCAGGTCTAATAAATGACGTGAAGATTAATAACATAACAGTAATAGTGATATATTTCATTTAGAAAACATAAGAGAAAATGACAAAATGGCAACTGGATCCGTCAAAGGTAAAGAATATGATTACCTATTGACCTGCAGTCATATGTCTAGAGACATTTAAAACTCCAAAAATTTGCCATGTGTACATACTTTCTGTAAGTTATGTTTTCATACATATATCAAGTCATCCCTTTCTAAGGAAATCGTAAGTAATGGTCTTGGAAGTTCAGTATGTCGCACGTTAGTGTCTATAGAAAAAACATTCCGGAATATCGAATGTTGGACAGAGAAGCTTCCGAACAATCATTTGATAATATCAATTATTGACCGACAAGTAATACAAAAAAAAATATAATGCAACGCGTTCGAACTAAGCAATGTAATCCAGAAGGCCTTGTCATGGTGTACAGTGTGTGAGGTGGCAATGTGTGTTGCTAGTGAAAACTGCTATCGTAAGTTTAAACTGTCCTCTCGCCATAAAGTTTTGACATTACAAGAAGAACAAGTAAACAAGACTGTAACTATTTCCGGATTGATCACATGTGAATACCATTTGGATAAATGTGTCGAGATTTTTTGTGTGCATCGTAAGTGCGAAAAGGTGGTTGTAATAAAAGAAGCGGCAGCCAGTAGTAAAGAGGCAATTCAGACGACTGAATTTCTTGAGCTGATACTGAAGTGGAAAATTTTGCTGGACAAATCAATCCCAAATACTGAAAAAAATTGTGGCAAACGTTGAAATTTTGGAGAACAATTTATTTTCAGAAATTGAAAAGTTAACGAAATATATATTTGAACACGTCATTAACATGAAGAAAGGTGGACCAGGTGATATCGAAAGAATTCGAAAAGAAGAGTTAGCAGTGTCATTTGATAAGGGAGCTACCATTTGATTTTTATGGAGGGGCTAGAATGAAAAATGTTGTCCTGCCTATTTATTTTTCCCTCTATTCGGTCCTGCCTTTTTATTTTTCACTCTATTCGGTCCTGCCTTTTTTTTTTTAGTTTATCCTGACTTTTTTATTTACATAAATTGTCATCCTGCCTTTTGTTTTTGCAAATAATCTCATCCTGCCTTTTTTTTTACTCAAAACTCCTGTCCTGCCTATTTTTTTCAAATTTCATCCTAGCCCCCCCCCCCCCCCCCCCCCATAAAAATCAAATGGTAGCTCCCTAAAGCAAAAGAAATTCATTTTATAACTACCCAGACAATGGCTGCAATACAGAAAATTCATCTCTTTGCTTCTATTCATAGTCTACGTTATATAGACGTAAATAACCAATTCATTGCAGCCGGTTTAATTAAGAACTATTTTGGTTGAACGCAACAAACGGCGAGACAATAAAAGAAGTAGGTAAAAATGGTCTGTCTTGCTATATCTGCGCATATGGAAGTGACGGTTATGTTAATGCCGACGGACCGAATAGTGTGTCTTGTTTAGTATATGGTTTGAATAAATTTACTTACACGAGCCAAATGTTAACAAATCCGAAGGGAGTTGATGTCGATTTATATGGAAATTTCTACATTTGTTCACGACGTTCAAAGAGCATACATCAAATTTCACTATCGGGAGAATTGATCAGAATAATTCCATATCAAGAACTTGAGACAATGGACCCATAGATTATAAGATTCAAATTAAACAGTAATAAGTTCTTGGTTACGTCTATATCATCCAGCAAAGTTGTTGTTGCTGAGTTAATTTCAATATAATTTCTACTGGTGGAAACTGTTCAATTGAAAACTAGTTACAAAATTTATTTTTTAAATCGAAATATTTTATACATAACTAAAACATATCATTCTTCTTGAACATCATGGTTCATACATCCGGGTTTTTGAACACTTTTGTCAATATAAAACATTAAATTGATGGTGAAATAATTTAAAACACATTATTGCGTTGATAAATTCAGAAAAAATCTAGGGTACAACTCCCTCAGGCAAGTTGACCACAGCCGAATTTGGATATTTTTTTTTGTCTCTTTTTGGTCGTATGCCTGCTAAAGTAACTACGTATTGATACCTACATTTCAAATGTTTGGTTTTAGCGTTTGTGATGATTGGAAATCCAGAAAAGCGCTTTGGACGCACGGAATTTATAAGATGTTGTTTTCAGTAAGGTAATATAAAACGAATATATATGGTACAAGATCAAATGATGGAAAAAAATATCTAAACAGTCTATAAAAACTCAGTTGACCCCGAAATTTAGTTATCATTTCAGGAGGGAACTGGATATGACATATATGTAGATGCATATAAAACAGCATTCCAAGAGAATACAAAAAAAATAAAAATATCAATGGAAAATCACCTGTTTATTGCTGTTCTTTATCTTGAAATTAATAGGCAAAATACGGCCTTCGGAAAAAAACAATTGTCTAAACAGTGTGTCTAGTTCTCAAGAACCCTATTTTGAAAAACTCTGTGGAAAAGGTTATCACAGACATCTTCAAATATCTCTAATCAGCATCAAATCCTCTAAAGACTAAGAACATTAAAGTATAAATTGACAGAACCACTTTCTAAGTACGGACAGGCACCTAAGATTAGGACAGATTTAAACTATTCTTTCGGCATTCGCCCCTTCACATTTCAATTCCGACCAGTGGAATAACAAAGGAAAACGTACAATTAAAATCACAATAGAAAGGACACGTAACCCTACAGGTTGTTTTTCTCTTTTCCTCGTATGTCAACGAATAAGACTTCTCATTGAGTTTTTGGTGGGGTTCGTGTTCCTCATTCTTTAGTTTTATATGCTGTTTTGTTTACTGTTGTTTTTCTTTTAAGTCGTTTTTAGTACTTGCCATGGCGTTGTCAGTGGATCATCGACAATTTTACAAGGTTTTGTATTTTCCGCCTGTCTTTTAATTGTTCTTTTCATCTTGCGTTTTGAACAATGAGGTTGTCAGTTTCGCTTCGACCTCATTTGAATAACCCTTTCGAATCTTCCGCCTCTATTCTTACGCTATACAAACAACTAAACAGTCAAGTGAATAGAAAATAATACTATATTATATTATTCAACAAATGTAATAAGATTATTAAGGTTTGGACTAAGAACGATAACTCGGGTATAAAAAAATACAAAGTGTGCAGATTGAAGACAACGTAAATTAACAACCATTTTACTGCTGTATATCATTTTCTAGCTCCTGCGTGCACTCCCGTTGTATTTGTTAGGATCGTGCTGCAGAATATTTACTGCATATTTAGTTTTCTGTGTGTTTTTTTTTATTTTGGACTGTTGTTCAACATTTCGTCTTACTTCTTCTGTCTGTTTTTCTTTGACTTAAGGTTTTCCCGTTAATGATTATTCGTTCTATAATTGTAACATGTGTAATGTCGATCTGTAAATTTAGCGGCCCGAGAAAATATACAGTTTTCTCAAACTCAATGTGTTTGTCAATGACACAAGTACTTGACGTCATATACCAGAGACATCTGATTTTTCTAAAACATTTAATTTAAATGCTTTTAAAGTCATTCATCAAAGGAAATGCAGTTTTTCTTTAAAAATCACATCGAAAATCTCACATATTAAAAAAGATATTTTTAATAGAAACTGAATTAATTTTTGTACCATTTAATCTCCCTCGGTCTATACAATGATTTATTTCCACTTGCAGTTTCTTACTCTTATTTTTGTATAGATAAAATACAAAATACATCATTTATATGCATAGTACATTCACCAGTTAGTGAGGACGTGACTTTAAATGTCATTTACCTTGAAATGTTGATATTGAATTTATTGCAAATTGTCATCGATCATTTGTCATTTATTTCTATGCATTTGGTAATATATTTCCCCTTTTTATATATTATTCAATCAATGAAATGCTTTAAGGTGAAAGTGCATTCTTCAAATCCATAAAAATGTGTGGCTTTTGAGAATAATAGCGGTACCAATTTTTTTACACTGTAAATTATCAAGATTCTGCTTTAATCCTGAGGCAAACAAAATCACCATACACACTTCCGTCATTCGTGTAATCGAGACTCCAGTCCGTTGATGTAATTTTTCATGTAGCTGCAGAAAACATAGGTCCGTTAGCTGAGTAAACGTGAAACTGACACTTCTTCCAATTAATGCAAACTTCTGAAAATTCAAGTCGGTCTTTTAACGAAAAATTTAATACAAATTCTTATTGATTTATCGATCTATCTAAATTTAACCCACCAAACCAATCAGCCAATAAGTTTAGACTGTATAGAGGCCTAGCAGTATGTTAAAAAATATTAATTAGCTACAGTCAACAATATCTTTTAAAATAAAATACAACTTTCAGGTACGATCGTAATGATGCAATGTGCAAAAAATTTATCAGGTATCAGGAGGATCTATCAGCGTGACAACATTACAATTGCTACCCTTTTTATGATAAAAAAAATAATACATATGATGGGGGATAATTCTAAGAAAGTAGCCCAATTGTGTACATTTATATTCTCGATAACTATGCAATAAATTTTAAAAGAACAAAAATACGAAGATAGGAAAAATCAATGCACAAGGTCATGTTTTTCTCTGACTGTTTATGACGTCTTTACACTAAATCCATTGGATGTTGGATGTGTACGGATTGATAATTTAGTCTTAGATGCAAGGTTTTTTTTTATTAGTT